CAACTCCTTATTCCTCTTTGCTCTTTTTCTCACCACTTTGCTGTCATCTCTTGTTCTCTAAATAATGTTGCACAGCTCTGCTGAATTGAGAGCAACAGAGCACTGACAGCATATGAGCACAATCAGTCTCTCTGGGCAGCAAAGTTGTAGCCTATAAGTCTCAAAATTGGACTTGGCCTATTATGCTGCACCCACAGTGTGTGAAATTTGTCTCAAAGCAACAATGGTCTGCCTCTCTCCCTCACCACTGAGACTCAGCCTTGTTCAACCTCTTACTACTACTACTACTCACTGTACAACATTCTTGCAGGCTGCTGATCACAAGGAGAATATGCCTAGTTCCTATGCTGTCAGCTTGGTAGGGCTGTGGTTGTCTTTTCCTCCCTTACCCCTCACTTGGGCTAAGTACAGACAGTCAAAAAGCCTGAAACTGAATTGAGTCCGTCTTTGTAGGTTAGTCTCAGCTGCAAAGATTTAACTGAGAAACAACTGGACACATTTACCTTTGGTTCAGGAAATGAAGCCACATGCCTGCAGTGGCTATGGCCAGAAGCCAGGGAGCACTAGAGCATGGCTCTGGCACTTCCTGTTGCCCCTGAGGTCTCTGGGATTTTTTTTTCATAGACTTTAGGGCTGGAAGGGACCTCGGAAGATCATCGAGTCCAGCCCCCTGCCCCAAGGGCAGGAAGTCAGCTGAGGTCACAGGATCCCAGCGATATATGTCCAATTGTCTCTTAAAAGAGTCCAGAGTAGGTGCTTGCACCACCTCTGGAGGCAGTCGGTTCCAGGCCTTGGGGACTTGGACAGTAAAGAAGTTCTTCCTTATGTCCAGCCTGAAACGGTTTTGGAGAAGTTTATGACCATTCGACCTTGTCATCCCATGGGGCGCTCTGGTGAACAGCTGTCCCCTCAGATCCTGATGTACACCCCTTATATACTTATAGGCTGCCACCAGGTCCCCCTGAGCCTGCGCTTTTCCAGACTGAAGAGTCCCATGGCTCTCAGCCTCTCATCATAAGGCCTATTTTCTTGCCCTCAGCATCACAGAAGGAGAACTCTGCAGGGTTGCTCAACACTTGCTCTTCATGGTTACAGGTACCTCTGGGATTTTAGTCCACAGTCACAGTCTGTAGTAACTTTCAATATGTTTAGCAGGGCAGGGAATCTCTGTACTCAGGGAAAGAGGGGGCTTAACCCCCCTCCCTGGCCCCAGACCCCAGCCAGGGTTTGCCTGGTGCGGGCAGTCCTTGTTTCTCTCTCTTCCCCTTTCCCCCATTCAACCCAACCCTTCTGTGCTGGAGCAGACTGCCTAGCTCAGCCCAGGGCTGGAAAGCATGCTAGGATGCTGCGGGACTCTGATTTAACTTGAACCAGGAAGGGGTCTGGGACAGAAGTTTCATTAACTGGTTTGACCCAAATCAGTTAAGTCTGATACTCCATTCAACCCGGTTTATCTCAAACCCGTTTCAGCCATTTTGAAAATGGTTTGTGTGCACTGAACTTAAGTTCTGTTACAGGTTTAAACCAGTTTCTGATGACTTAAACTGGTTTATGTGTAACTTCTGTCCCTAGCCTTGCAGAGAGCTCATTTGGAGCTCCACACTCAGTGCCACTGGCTAGGTGATGGCCAGACACATGCTTTATACATGAAACGTGGTATTCGTGTTCATATTGTTCTTGTACCATAAAGGTAAGCAAGTCTTAGCCTTGGAACATGAGTGCTTTATCAAGTTTAATTCCATGATTGCATACTCATGAATTTTAATGAATGAAATTTGCTTTTTCTCATCTTCCATGCTTTGCTTACTCATTTGATTTGAAAACTTTAGCATCAGTAAAGTAATTACAGGTGGTGCCACTTTGCTTTGCTCACGTAATATTTCAGTCCTCAAAGTTCTTACTAGTGAGGTGCCAAGAGGACGGATGGCTGTGTATGGCGCTTACTGTTTCCAGAGTACCTGCTTGGTAGGGCTGTGCGAAATGGCACTGTTTCGTTTCGACTTCCATTTTGATGTTTCGATGGGACAGTGTTTTGTTTCAAGTTTCGTTTTGAAGCGCTGTTCCATTTCACATAGTCGGAACTGTTTTGCTGTTTTGCCCATAGGTTATAATGGGGAAGCACAAAACTGACTAAAACTTTGTCGTTTCTTGGCAGATATGGATGAAAACAGCAGGGATGGTAGCCCTTTCTGAGGGCATGAAGCCTGCCAAGTTTTAAGGAGATAGGTGCAGGGGTTTCTGGGAAACTGCACCTCAAGCTGCTGACAAGCAAAACTCATGACATATGACTGTGTGTGTGCGTGTTAAGGCGCAGCTGTTTTTCCGTCCCTCCCCTAGAGCACTGGGATTTGAAGGGACCTCAGGGAAGGATCACAGTCACTGGCCAGCTACACAGTCAATATCAGAGGAGTCCTTCCCTCTTCTTCCCCCTTCCTCTCCTTAGTTTCTATTTCCCTCAAGCAGGCCCAGCTTCAAAACTGGAAACATTTTGAAACTTTGAAATGTTTCAACTGCCCTTGTTTCATTTTGAGTCTGCTTTGAAACCTTTTGTTTCATTTCAGTTTCACTGTTTCGAGCTTGAAACGAGTCAAAACAGCATCAAAACAAAACACCTGGCAAGATTTCGCACAGCCCTACTGCTCAGTGGTTCATCTACATGGCAGAAATGGGTGATCTCAGTGCCCAAGTTTGCAAACATTCACAGGGCTTAGGTCACCCTAAAAATGGGGTGCCTCATCTAAAGTTAGTTCACCTCAGAGATGAACCCAGCTACTTGCCACAGGCCTGGGGCTGGTCTGTTCTTACTTCCACATCTCTGACCAAGCTATTCCGAGCTAGATTGAGAATGCCAGCCCCTCTCCTCGTCCCCTTTTACTTGCGTCTGTCTGCCTGTGCCTCTAGGCAAGTGGCAAAGGCTTGTACTATACCACCTAATCCTGAATCCTGCAAATGCTTATTCACACTCTGATTTCACACACTGAGACTTCTACACCAGGATGGCCTTTGCCCTTCTATCTGCTGTGGCATTGTGATCGATTCCTACTAAATATTCCCATCAAAGATCAATGTGGGTAATTACAGCATTTCAGCCATTATGGCCCTCTCTGATGTTAATTAATCTACTTCAGTAAAAAGGCTTTTAAATAGATCATTAGTAGTCTAATGAACAAAGGGGGCCTCAGCAGAGAAGAGACCAGAATAGGATGCTGCTACTGGGGGCAGTATGACCCACCTCTGCAGTTCTGGTTAGGCAGGTGGAGAATATGGCAGTTTGCAGACTGCAGTCTTCTTTGGGCAAGGTGACTGGGAAAAGTATGAACTCTGTTTCTTCAGCCTCAGGTCTATAATCCTGAAACAAATGTTGGTGGCAGACAGAAAAAAATGTTTTTCTTGAATGTTTGCATGAGCAACATTTTTCAGACACAAACATTTCCAAAGCAAATGGAAAATCAGCGCAAACTTGTCAAAGTGCAATTAATTGTCTGATTTCCTCATTAATATACCATCTTGACTTAATAGGGCTTCATGCCCTCTTGATTTCAAAAGATTTCTTTTGAAATGCATGTCTGGCTTTAAGTTGCTACCCAGCTTTTCAAAAACCACTTTAATAAAATATGTTTAGGTAATCCCACTTTAAATTGCTTGGAGTTAAGGATGGCAAACAAATAAGTATTTAAAAAAAATCTTAGGGATATCCTACATTTACATTACTGTATTAATAAATCAGTACAAAATCAAACGGTTTGATGTAGTAAAAATTTGCCTCAGGTATTAGTTTCCTGCGTATTCACAATCTGTGTCTACATTCAGATTAATTTAAAATAAAACTTCTGGATAGATTTTTAAAAACTGGGGAAACCAGTAAAGTGTCTTTTCCTTACTAACAAGTTCTAGTCTTTTCGTGCACGGATGGCTACTCCTGATTGGTGGGTAACCATTTACAAGGGGCCTCTCTTAAAATATCAATGGTGCTCCCTTGTAGAAAGAAACTGTGTTTCAATAGTTCAGATGATAAAATCATGATAGAGCACCTGAAGAAATTGTTCCTAAAATGGAACCATAGTTTATGGTCTGTCCTTGCTCTTGAAACTTATTTTTTATATTTGGCCAGGTTTTAAATCCAATCCAAGTGCATTTTTTCATTTAGGGCAGTAGATTTTCTCCGTGCAAACTCTGATTTGGCACATGCCAGATATAGTGAGGTTCATGGAGGTTGCTGCTACAGGCTAGAATTCCTCATTGAGAAGGACCCAGAAGTCTGTGGCTTTAGGGAATCTGAAAAGAGAAATATTGAAAATAAAGATTAAAATTGCTCATTGTGCTAGAAGTGCCACTTTGTTTTGCCCTTTGAGGCTCAAAGCCCTCGTTCATTAACATATGTAAGCATGGGTTGTGGCCAAAGAAAATTATTCTGTGCTATTATAGCTGGCAAAGGGTACTGGACATTGTTTCCAGAGCTGGAGGAAGCCGTATGTGGAAAAAAAGCATGCTAAAAACAAATGTAATTTTTTCTCTGGAATGTTTGACTTTTTTTTGCTCTGGGCTGTGACCAGCTGTACATCCTAGCCCAGAGCATCATCTTGTCTATAAATATTTAGTGTATGTTGTCTTAGTGTAGTAACCCTGAAAAATATGGCATCAGTAATCTACTTTACATGCAGCTTTTGTTTTTAATCCAGAAATAGAGGGATAGGGGGATATATTACCAAAACGTGTTTTACATTTGCATTACTATTTAATGACACTGTGCATTATATTACATTACATGGCTAAATCACAAATTGAGAAAATGATGCCCCCTGTTTTATTGTCTGTTAAGAAAGCTCTCAGATTTCCTGCCTTAGCAGATTCCATGCACTATGTCTAATTAGGCATAGCTTACATAATTATATGCTAGTTTTCTTGCAATTCATCATGAGCCAAAGGTTGTATTTTAGGAATATGACATTTCTGTGAACTGTTTTAATTACTTTGTTTCCTTTTTCTTCCTTTCTCTTAAGATATTAGGGCAGTTGGGCTAAAAAAGGGGATGTTCTTCAACCCTGATCCTTACCTAAAGATGTCGATTCAACCAGGGAAGAAGAGTACATTCCCTATGTTTGCCCATCATGGTCAGGAAAGACGGTCTACTATCATCAGTAACACAACTAATCCTGTTTGGCACAGAGAGGTAACATGCCTTTTTTAGAATTCCTTCTGCTTGCTGGTGCGATAGTTCACCCAAGTAGTTGTTTCTTTTTATGTTTTGGTCCTGTCTGATGCTATGAGCTATTTTTGCAGCTGATTATTTAAATGTACTTAGATATTGTTGTAGTTGCAGGAACCCTGTTGCTGAGTAGGAACAGTTGTCTTTTATAATATGTTGGAAACATACTGCTGTGAGCAGCTCATTCCCTCTGCTGCTGGCAAGATTTGGGATCACTCAATAGTCCTGTGGATTCCTTGAAATAAAGGAATAAATTAATTAGAATGGATTATATGGTGTGAGGATACTTAAGACACAGTAAGTGAGCATTCATGTTTCGACTTAGCTTGGGCAATGATTCCAGCTATCATTCATTGAGAAATGCTCCTCTCTGCAGTTTGTAGCAACTGGCAAGTTTACAGATTGGTTTATTGTCAGGCAGAGGGGATGCCTTTGAAGTACATGGTTCCTGTAGAAGGATTGGTCAAGAGAGGAATTATAGCACCATCTAGCAAGAGGAAGACAGCTTGACAAAAGCTAGCTTTTCCGATTTATTTTTACTTGTGTCAGTGCAGACACTGAAACAACTCAGTCTTCAACAAGTGCAGAATGGCAAAACTGTGTCAAAAAGAAAATCTTAAGTGAGAAATAATAGTTAATACCTTTTAATAACCAAAACCTGGACCTGTTAGATGGCCATTTGGTAGCTTTTGTGAAGCAAGTTGGTGGGCTGAATCTGCTTTCCACTAGGTATGTGCCCCCACTATATTTGGTATCTGAGTGTTAACAGATTCAAAGCTACAAGGGGCATGAATAATCTTGTCAGAGAACATAGCTGAAGTAGGGTTGCAGTAAACTGGAATAAGATGCAGTGGTTGTCAGAGTATGATCAGTGACAAAACTGTCTATTTTGTGGATAAATAAAACATTTCCATCAGTGGTACCAATCTAACATCTTTAATAGATACACAGATACACTTTAACAGATATGCTTTAACAGAGTCCAGTTGCTGCTGAGTTCAAAGTAAGAGGTTTAGCTACTAAAGACACCACTACATCGTCAGACCACTCTAGGAAGCACTGCAATAAAATACAATATGCCTACTTCACCCATGCTACTCCCTGAAACAAATGTAATGTAGCTGTCTTAGCATGGTATTTGGTATATAGTGATAACCACACCTGAGCTAGTTTATTGGTGTGCACCGTGTTGTTGTAAACAGCCTTATAAACATCCTTATCAAGGTGCATACAAGCTGAGTGTACTGTGTTTCACTGTAGCACTCCCAAACATGGTCCAGAAATGTTGTAGACATACTCTTACTACATGCACTTTCCTTTATTTCTAATAAAAAGCAGTCGAGTTTTTCTTCTATTCCCTTGCCCTCTAGTTGCTTGCTTTTGCAGCTTTTATTGAAGTGATAATGTTCACTGGAGAATATATTATTTAGCATGCCCTTAACTGATATGTTCTTCTCTGTAACAAGATACTGTTAACGCCATGTTATATAATTATAATGCACATGCTGCACTGTATTGTATGTGGTGCAGAATTGATTCCTTCCTTCCCTTAGGAAATTTGCAATTTTATTATAGCAAACTGATAGTGACAGCATTTAAGTTCTGTCCATCACAGGAAAGCTCGATTCTGATGATAGCCTGGGTGAGACAATGGTTTTCTATTCTGTATGCTAATCAGACACATTCAACAATTAAAATCCGATGAAGCTGTAGAGGAACTTCTAGGTTTTGTTCCCTATTGACGTTTATTTAGCTATAGAAGTATACTGTGTGTTAGGTATTCTGGTCAGATTGTCATTTGTATTGAAAATCCCAAAGGTGAAGGCTAATACATGTTTAAGTAGATGATGTAAGCTGTTCCCGAGCAGGTAACTGATGCTTCATCAAATTGTTATTTGATGAGTGAAACATCATAGTGATATAGCAAAGAAATACAGTTTATTCTTCCTGAAGGGAAATAAGGAATAACTTTATTATCTTAGTGTAATTTTGTAACATGGAAACTGATGTAATCAGCAATAATTATCTCTTTGTGTTGCCTGTTGCCGGGTGGTGGTGTAAATATCCATCCATTCTTGTTGAACAGAGGTATCCTGATAGCCTGTCAAATCTGTTCTTTCTTTGCAGAAATATTCTTTTGTTGCACTTCTAACAGATGTCTTGGAGATTGAAATTAAAGACAAATTTGCCAAGAGTCGTCCTATCATCAAGCGCTTTCTTGGGAAGTTAACCATCCCAGTCCAGAGGCTATTGGAGAGACATGCAATAGGGTAAATTATAATGCTTTGTTTACTGTTAGTTTTATATTAGTCAGGAGGATCACCACCTGTGATATAGTCACAAACCAACTTTTCCATAACTAATTTTGATCAAATACCATAGACTCGCCATAGCAGGAAGTTAACCTTTTTCAGTCTTACAGTAGAATATGCTTTCATTTCTTAGCTTTTTATATTATTTTGACTCTGTGATTTGCCTATAATTTATTTTCTGTGCATCAAAGGTGTTAACTTGTTGCTAGTATGTCAAAGAGTAATAAGGCTGTTAGTTATTTAAAGCAATAGAGTTGAATACAAATGTTTAGAACAAGCAGTTTTTTTAATACAATACAAGCATTTCTAATCATCAGTTACAGAAATTTAACATTGATTTAGCTAATTAGGTAGAACTGAAAGATTTACATAGGTTCTTTTTCTGAGTGTTAGTAATGCCGCAACGTTGAAATTTGATGGGCCCCAAAATTAATCTACTGTGTCATTAGAAGTTTTTTTTACAATCTCCTTAGATTTCTGTACTATTTTAAAGATGCAGAACCATTTAAAATGATGTCCTAAAAGGTTCTTTTGGCTTAAAGTGACTGCTGGTATTGACCAAATTATTATCAAATTTTGTTGGTGCTCAGAGTACAATTCACTATGACAAAAGCTCTAGAATTCGGTAGTCAGAAAATGAAGGAAGGATGAAAGCCAGAAAACTTGAGCTTTGTGTGAGTCAGGTGAAAGTGACTGTTGTTTGACCGTGGGCCTGATCTATGTATAGTAGTATACACGGTGAATAAAATACAAACGTATGAAAAAATTCTGTATAGTATTTATTTTATCAGGATCCTAAATGTTCATATAGTAAATTAAGTGATCATAAAATAAGATGACAACATCTGTCATCTGAACATAATGAGAGGAGCTGAACTGTAAAGCATGTTTTGTATAGGGCCACTTAATCCTATGTGAGTCCTTTCATTGACCTCAAGTAGGCATTAGATGAGATGTTCTTTTCAAGAATTTCAATGGCAAGGCAGTGTCTTTGTGCTTCTGCACAACAGCTAACATGCAGCTTTTTCAAAAATATTTCCACCAAATGTGTAGCAACTATGTAGCAACTTGTATTCATAGAGCAAAGCAAATTCAGTTTGAAAGTAGTTTTCATCTTTAAGCTTCACAAGTTTTTTAAAAAAAGATGTTTGAATAATAGCAAAATTTTGATGGTGCTTCTGTTGACTAAATATGTTTAAAAAGGGTTTGTTCATACACTTTATAATAGTATCAAAAGTAGCCCAGGTACATGTAAGGGACTTTCCTAAGAAATGCTAAGTTGAAACAATTTGATTGTCTAATTCAGCATTTCCCAAAATGTGGACAACCATGGCAGGGGATGCAGCTGGTTCTTAGGGGGACAGGAATGGGACACGTGAATCACGGTGCCAGTTGGCAGCTGCCCTGTACTTCAGCCACTGACACACCCCAACTTCAGCCACTACTGCTGCTTTCCCCACAGGCAGTTCCCCTCACCAGCAATTGTCATTGATTGCCAGAGAGGGAAGAATCAGTAACAATCAGTAGTGGGGTAACCAGTAGGGAGGTAAGTTAAGACAAGATGGCAAGCTGAAATACAGGGCTGCATGACTCTTTTGGTGGGGCATAAACCCACAAGGTTTGCAAAACGCTGTTCTAATTATCATTTTGAACTGCTGTGTTTGTTTAGCACAGTAGTTTGATTCAGATTTGATTAAATCTGAGTTTAAATAAAAAATGGGATAATGTGGTAAGTGTTTTTTGCCTGTTAAATTTGCACACTGATGAACAAGTGAACCATTGGTAAATTTCAGAGCTCTGCTCAGTGTGTTTATTTGCATAGTAACACCAAAATGTTCTAGCTACACTATTTTGTAGTTGTGTGAAGTCTGGCAACTACCTACATTTGTTGTGTTTATTTATACGTACAGACATCTTTTCTGTACATTTTGCAAGCAAAAATTTTGGAAAACATTTTTGGTTTTAGCCTCCGTACTTGCAACTAAAATATCTCAGAATCTTTGAGGGACAGAGAAGATTATGGAATATGCATATATGTAAGAATTATATAAATAAATATTCAATTTAATTCACTGAAAAATTAATACTGATATTTTGTCCACTTATCAAGGATGATGATGTTGTTTATTTGTAATGCAGTAGTGTCTAGGGGCACCAATCAGTGATCATGGCCCAGCCTCTTCCTCAGAAATCTTACAAAGTAGGTCATGATGCATAAAATAGATGAAACAGACTGAACAGAAAAGATCTACAACATAACATTAAAGTACAAAGTACCCTAATTATAGAAAAACTGGGCATGATTTTTTTGACAGGCAATTCAAATGTAATCTCTTTTATCTTCCACATCATGACAACAAGCGGGGAAGATGTAGATATTATTTTCTGTAATAATTTAAAAAAAAATCAACTTTAAAAAATAAATAAGTCCAAGTGCTGAAGCCTGGGCCATGTATGCTATTGGCTTTATTAGCGACTCAATTTTATTTTGTATTTTTCTTTCATGAATACAGAGTTGTGCTATTTACTTGATTTATGTAAATCTCCATCCTCATTACACCATAAGAATACGTGTAACCAAATTTTTACTGATCTTTATAGTCCATTTGAATGCAGAATAAAAGTCCATTTTGAAACTTTAATAACTATAATCATGAAATCCATCAGTTCTAAACCTGTGTCTATGCATATTGGTTAGTTTTGAGGGATGCTACTGTTAATTCACTACAATATAGGCTGAAGTCTGGGAGCTGCTAGTCTGTAAGCAGGTGTTAATTTTGTCCTTCGTTTCACTTAGAGTTAACCTCAGTTTCAGATATTGCTGCAGCTGAATGAGTGCAAACCCTTTATAGACAAAGGCAACCAAGATTTGCACAAGTGGAGCATAGTCTCATTTCAGATGGGGTATTACATGGCTTTTTTATACCTATGTGACCTAGATTTATATTGTCTGTCTCAATGAAAAACTCATAATCTAATCTTTGCTGTAATATGGTAGAGGAAAACAGACAAATCCATTAAAGGTGCTTTCTTACTCTAAAAGCATTTTCCTGGGAATGAACTATTTTGGCCATTTTTCAGATTAAATATTAAGGTCCTGATTCACTATTATGTCATACTATTATGTTTACTGTTGGAAACACAGAGGACTACAGGGCTGAAATAAGTTCGTTTGTAAATCTAATTAATTAATGCTTTTCAATGAAAATCTTTAATTATTAACTTAGTCTATTTTCTATCAAATGTCTAACAGTGCATTGAATGACATATTGCCCAAAGGTATATATCTTTTTTTTTTCTGATTACACTTTCTGATATGTTCAAATGAATTGTATAAGTTGAGGTTTTTTGTGGAACGTGACAAATATACGTACATTGTACTTTTGCTGTTGAGCAAAACTTTATTTTCCATTTATGTGGCCATGGTTTTGGTTTGAACAGCACAAAGATATATTTCATTTTTTTACATAGGAGAAGGAGTTTCATAGAAAACCTTAACTAGTTCATTTTCCCCCTTATAGTAGTAATGCTGCTTTTGAGTCAGGGACATAAGAGTGTTTGAAGCCTGGAACTTACCATTCTTTAAATAAGTTGTGTTAGTTTAGGCCTTGTCTGGATTTAGAGTGATCCCCAATTCTAGCAGTCAGATAGCTTCACCAGTACCCAGCACATGAAAAGGGGGTTGCAGATGGAGAGGTGCATCATCACATATGAAACAACATGTATTTTTCTCCAGTTAAAAATAAACTAGAAGCTTTACTACTATGCTAGGGGCCCAGGGGTATGTTGAATTAAAACAAATATAACTTCACTGGAGTGAGTTGGAAACAATTTTTAGGACTGAACTGCAAGCTATTACTAAGAGCAGCTAACGGAAAGCAGAATTAAAAAACAATGGTTAGGTTGATTAGTGGAACATTAAGACCATTATAAAGAAGAGCGGGTCATTAACACCTGTGGAAAGAAGAGTTCAGAAGGGATCAGCTAGATTATAATGAGCCATGAAGTGAATTGACTCCCCCAGCACTGCCTGACTAGTAATGCTGCTGCCATTGCCAAGCACTTGGTTTTAAACTTTGGGTGGAGCAGGAATCAAAGGATTTGCCCCCTGACCCTGCATATCTGTGTACAAAAATTGCCAGTCAGTTGGGAATTTTGTATAGCTGTTGTGGAAAATAGTGGCTGACTGAACACAGCAGAAGTGGTTTGTTTCATGGTCTGCTCTCCTAGGCATTAAAGCTGTGACCCTTACAGCTCCAGCCAAAATATATTGGGTCAAATTGCTGAAGCAATGTTGAGCTGAGCACAAACTCTAGGAGACAGTCAAAACTCCCAGCCCCTTTCCTCTTCCCGCAACCTGGCAAAGGAGGCCTGACTGGGTTTAGCAGTGTAACAGAGCTGCAGCACCAGCAGTGGAGTATTCCAGTTGGCATTTTGGTGGATAAAGTAGCCAGGGGGTGACCACTTTAATTTAGACCTTGTCTACACAAGGTATTTTGCTATATCCTAAAGTTTGAATTTAAAACCCTATGGTTTTGCCAGTATAACTTATCCTGTGAGTCCTCTTTTATTCCAGTATGCAGGTGGTCTTTTTAATTTCTTTTTTGTTTACTATCACTTGGGAAGAGATTTAAGCTAAACTATTTATACCACTATAGAGTGCCCTCATGGGGAGTTATACCCATGGACCTGTACTGAGCTAAGTGATAAAACTGTCCTATGTTGACATGCCCATCCATGGCTGGCTGAATTGTGCTGGAGGAGACTCTGGACTGACTTTTGTGTGCCTATTGGAATAAATTGGACAGAATCTCATGTTTTGTCTCAGTAAAACAATTAACCCGTGTCTGAGTCTCAGTGAAATCTCTGATTTAGAATAGGTTTAACATTACTCCCATTCATTAAGAATTGCGCTTAAATTGGTTCCTAGTCAGCACTAGCTTAAAGTTAGGTATGTGTCTAAGTGCTTTTTTAACTTGGGCCTAACACAATGAATATTTCTAGCATCTGTCTTTCAAGTAATGAAATAATTGCATTTTTTTGGTAAACTTAGAAATTTTAAAAATACTTTTTCCTTAAAAATATTCTCCCTTTCAAAATTCTGAAAAGATCTGTGGAGAATGAAAGTTGCTGGTACATAACTGCTACTTGGAAACAATAATTTGTTCCACTGTTTTACATGATGCCATAGTTTGTTCCATTGTTTTACATGATAGTTATTAGTCTTTCAGGAAGTGCATGGTATTTGTGAATCTCTACAAGGTAGTAGATGAGGCCCACTTTTATGAATTCATAGCTAAAACATTTTATTGCATCATGGCTTGCTGATATGAACATGACAGTTAAAAACAGAATGGTAAAAAATCTAGAGAACTATTTAACTATTGTGAATATACAGACATACATACATACATACACACACATTTTCTCTTTACAGAGACCAAATTCTCAGCTACAATCTTGGCAGAAGGCTCCCAGCTGACCACGTAAGTGGGTATCTGCAGTTCAAAGTGGAGATTACATCTTCCATTCATGAAGGTGAGGTTTACAAAAGGACCTGTGTTTTCAGACGGTTAGTTAGAAAAAAAAAAGTCATTATTTACTATGCTTGCCTATTACTCTCTTTTTTTTGTATACAGTGATCGTTTAAAGGAAAGATGTTGTTTTAGATAGTTCAAACACCAGTTTTGAGATACTGTCGATTTTTATTTAATTTTTTTTCCTCTCACCGTGTTATCTTTTTTAAATGTACTTCTGTGCTCTTAGCCTGGCTCTCATCCAATTCATTTGTAATTTCTTTATTAGTAGATGCCAAGTTATCTTAGTGTATTAGTGTATTACTGATCTATCTAGTAGAAGCCTTAGTTTGGCATTACTGTACCTATCGACTTCTTGCTTGCATAATGCCTCACCTTTGAAAGTAATATTCACTCCTAAACAATTGTTAGGATGAAATGTTTGGTCTGTTTCCCCTTTCATTCCATTCTATATCATGTCCTAAAAACCTCAAAAAAACCAATATTCCACCTTAAAATGGTTATTGCAATACCCCAGAAAGTACCCACCGAACTTTTAGCTACATTTCCCTTCTTTAAAGGGAAACATATTAAAGTGTGTTCTACATAGAAGGTGATATTTCTGTAGTTTGTGGCTTCTTCCTAAAATTTTGGGCACTGGTCATAATAGCCTGCCCATAAGAGCAAAATTGCAGTTGATGTCAGTGGCTGGCCCACTGTAGAGCCTCATCTTGGATATAGGAGTACAAACTTTAGAAAACTGTTTCTTACGTTCCACGTGGTGTTTGTCAGAGCAGTTTTTACAAGATCCTTGGCAAAGTGCTTGTGTCTGTTAGAGCAAGGTGGATGTTCTTTGTGGTGATACTTCAGGTTTATTAGGTTCTCTTTACCCCACAAAGTAGATTAAATCCAAATTATTCATGACGGCCAGTACTTAGCAGTTTTTAGAGTATGATATCATAGAAGCCTAGATAGAATTCCCTGCAGTTTCTTCACTTAGCTATTTTGAATGAAGGTAATGCACAGCTTAACAGATGTGTGTTTATATATCATTCATGTTATACAATGATGTTAGAATTAACCTGCTGGAGGCATCATGGATTTCAATTCCAGTCTTTGTGTTTTTAATGGCAGATGCTTCACCAGAAGCAGTTGGTACTTTGCTAGGAGTGAATTCTGTAAATGGAGATTTGGGAAGCCCCTCTGATGATGAGGACATGCCAGCCGGACATCATGACACACATCCAGTTTGTTCAAATGGTTCAGTTCTTGAGGAATCTTCTGGAGAGGCAATACCAAAGCATCCTTTCAGGACTAGTACGACTCTAGAAACAGACCAGGAGGAATTAACCTCTTCTGCTTCAAGGTCATCACCTACCAGAGGTCGCCAGGACTCACTGAATGACTATCTGGATGCAATAGAACACAGCAGTCATCCGAGACCTGGAACATCTGGTGGCAGTGAGCGTTCACTTGGGGCCTCCCCAAAACTAAGGAGTAGCTTTCCCACTGACACGAGACTTAATGCTATGCTCCACATTGACTCAGATGAAGAGGAGCATGAGTTGCATCAAGATATGGCTTTTCAGTCTTCCTTGGAAGAAGAAGGTGGTTTAGTGATGCTTAATGGTGCTACAAGGAATGTTGAAGAACATTGTTCAAGTCATTCATCAAATCAGGTAATGCAGGGTTCAGCAGACAATGGAAAAGTTTTATCTTTTGAAACTGCTTTGCGGCCATCTGATAACCAGCAAGAGACTCTGCAAAGGCTCCCACCATCAGACGTTGCAATTGAAGGTGAAAACCAGCAAGACTCTCAAAATGAAGTGCCAGTAGACCAGGCTGGCAGTGAATTGTGTGCCTGTCAGGAGGCAGAACAGCCTACTAGCAGTGTGGATACAGGAGCTATTGACTCTGCTGTCGGTAGTAGAAGAGGTATCAGTGAAACAGAATCTATTGACCAAGGGTCTGAACCTTCCCAGGTTTCATCAGAAACTGAGCAGAGTGATCCTGCTCGCACAGAGAGTGTTAGTGAGGCTAGTACTAGGCCAGAAGGGGAGAGTGATGTTGAAGGAGCAGACAGCTCTTGTAATGAAAGCGTGACCACACGGCTGTCTTCAGTTGAAACACGATGTTCATCTTTTGAAAGTGCCAGGTTTCCTGAGACTCCTGCCTTTTCATCTCAGGAAGAGGAGGAGGGAGCTTGTGCCACTCATGTGGCTAGAAGTGAGCCTGCTGCAGAAACACAGGAGACTATGCGCTGTCCTGGCTCTTTACCTCTAGTGAGATTACCAAGCACTCAAGAGGAGGGGCAGCTGGCTGAAGGAGGTAGTTTACAGGATGGAGAGGAAGCAGAAGAGATTTGGCAAAGGAGGAGGAGCCTGCAGGCTGCTGCTGCTGCAAGTAGCCAGTCCCAGGATGAAGAAACTGGAGATGCCCAGGAAGCTTGTGAGGGAGCAGCTGCACCAATTGAAGGAGCTACTGGAGGTAATGTCTGTAGGCAATAGATGACAATGCACTCATTAGCAGAGTTACTGAAAATAAAGAATTAATACAAAATGAAAGAAAAATAAATCACAAAAATTTGAAGATCTGTTAAGATAGTTTTACTCCCTTGTTCCCATTCATATTTTTAAAATTTATTTTGGTTTTGAAAAAAACATTTTAGCATAAAAAATATCAGTTTTGAAACCAAAAATGTTATAGTTAGGGGGAAAATATGCATATATTTCTGTGTTGATGAATGAAAATGTTAGTGGGTAAAAACACCAAAGCCTGAAAACTAGTACCTGAGAACTTGAGGGGTTTTTGTTTTGGGAGAAGGGGAAAAATATGCATAATAAAATACAAGGAGGATTCAGGCTCTTTTTTATAAAAAAGAATTGCAAATCACTTTTAAAGCTAATTCTTCTATGTGTTATAAATTCTTCCTTGTTCATGCAGATTCCTGCAAAGAAAGAGAGATACCCTTATCTTATTAATAATAACCTGAAAAGCTAATTTAAGTCGTACTAGCTCCAAAAAAGGCACCAACCTAATTGTAATTGTTCTTATTCACATGCTGCTTCTTCAGTGATGAACTGGGGATTTTTGGGAGCTCCTTGATAACATGTTACCATCATATTTTAGGATATTAGGGGTAATTTCTCTGACTCTCATGGAGTTGATCGTCCTCTGGACATTCCTGCAGTAAATCATTCCTGAAAGACAAGTATGTCAAGTACTTCTGAAGAGCAGCTTTTGACTTTTGATTATATCAGATTGCACCAGATATCAGAGGAAATAATATCTCTCTGAACTTTACACAAAAGGAAAAATCCTGGTATGGTAAAAGTCAATGAGAGTTCTGCTGGCTTCAGCTGAGTCAAGGATTATCCAGGGATTTATTTTATGCATAATTTCAATATACTGATGTATTTTTCAGCAACAAGGTGTAACAAGGTGTAAATATTTCCAGCAAAGTGTATTTAATAATTCAGGCTTGTTTGGAGTTGTCATGCATAATAGTTATGGGTTTTGCTTTAATTGATCAGACCTTTCTTTAGTAGTTTTCTTTATCCCTCTATATCAGAGCAAGCCTCACTCTTCAGTTAGAGACTGAAAAGTCTTATTATTGTGGGACAGCTTGTTAAAATATTGTGAATATATCCTTGTAGTTTTATGTTCCAAGCGCCAATGGCCAAGGCGTTTTATTTGAAGGTATTACTTTATATTATTCCCTTGAAGTCAATAAAAATATGGTAGTGTACCTCAGGAAAGAATTTGGCCTTGAGGTTATAGTATTTGGATTTCTCTGGTAGTTTTATGTGATCTATATGCTCTGAAAGTGCTAGATATGAATTGGCATTCCTTCCTGAGATTTGAGATTATAGGCAGAAGCTATAATCTCTGTTGTGCAATTCAGAGACAACTCAACAGAATAAAAACACATAACTTCTTTATGTTTTAATTCTAGGTTCTCAAGCAAATGGCCACCAAGCTTTGAGGTCACTGCCTTCGGTGCGTCAAGATGTCAGCCGATATCAAAGAGTGGATGAGGCTCTACCACCAAGTGAGGTTCCTTTTAACTTTAACCAAAGGGAGTTCAGGATATTAACCACTCAACTTTTGAGGTCAAACTAAAAGATACCAGCTGAGGTGTTCCAAGTAAGGAGTAGGGAACAAGCATGTGAACTGCCTTTTCAGTGTCTGATCCAGATGAGTAGGGATGTGGGGTCATATTCCATAGTTAGTATGCTGAAAGCTGTGATATATAGGTGAACCTTGCAATTCGTGGAGGATATGTTCTTGTATCCCCCACAAATGGCGAAATCCGCGAATAATGCACTGCGTTCATGAATGCAGTCTGTGTTCATGAACGCAGTGCACCCGGCGGCTGGGGGCAGAGCACGGCTCTGGCGGTGGTGGCAGAAGCCTGGTAGCAGGAGCCCGGCAGCAGCAAGCATGGAGCTCCCAAGGAGCTCCTGGAAATGTATAAAGTGTATTTAAAATGCGAGTTCGGCATTTGCGAATATTTGAAACCATGAATGCTGAACCTGCGAGTAATGAGGGTTTCGTGTACTTCAGAGCTGATGGAGAGCTACACTGAAATACACTATATCCCTCTGGACATACACTGCTAACTGGAGTTCTAAAATTAGCTGGAAGATTGTAAAGCTTGATAAGTTTAGCCTTCCTGCTTTGAACTACTGCATTAGAGATACTCTGGCTATGAGACATATGGTTAAACACAATCATAGAATCATCATAGGGCTGGAAGGGACCCTGAAGGATCATCGGGTCCAGCCCCTTGCATGAGCAGGAAAGACATCTGGGGTCAGATGACCCTAGCCAGGTGACCATCCGGTCTTCTCTTGAAGACCTCTAGGGTCCTCCCCCTGGGGGGAGCTTGTTCCATAGTCTGGATACCTGGTTGTAAAGAAGTTTTTCCTAATGTTTAGCCTGAAACTATCTTTCAGGAGTTTGTGGCCATTGTTTCCAGTTTTTCCCCAGGGCACCGTGGTGAACAGTTGTTCACCGAGCCCCTGATGTATGCCTCTGATACAGCGGTAGGCTGCAATCAGGTCCCCTCTCAGCCTTCTTTTCTTTAGGCTGAAGAGTCCGAAGTCCCTCAGCCTCTCCTCATATGGCTTGCCTTACAAGTCCCTGAACATAAAGGTTGCTCTTCTCTGGATCCTCTCGAGCTTTAGCACATCCTTGTTGAAGTGTGGCACCCAGAACTGGACGCAATGCTCCAGCTTTGGCTGCGTCAACGTTGAGTAAAGCAGGAGAATCACTTCTTTGGTTTTACTGGAGATGCATCGATTGATGCATGCCAGAGCCAACTGCCAGCTTATATGCATGCTCAGGTCTACTGTTACCCCCAGATCCCTTTCATTTGTAGTGCTGGTTAGGTTAACGATGCCCAGCCTGTAGGTGTGCTGGGGGTTCTTCCTTCCCAGATACAACACTTTGCATTTCTGTACGTTGAACCTCATCTGGTTCCGTTCTGTCCAACATGCCACCCTGTCTAGGTCTGCTCGTATCTGCAGCCTATCTGCGGTTGTGTCCGCACAACCCCATATCTGGGTGTTGTCCGCAAACTTGGCCAGTGGGCTTTTCACCCCCTCATCCAGGTCGTTGATGTTGAACAGCACTGAGCCAAGTACCAACTCCTGGGGTACGCTGCTGCCCACATCTCACCAGGATGACACCAATCCATTCATTTGGACTTTCCCTGTCCTACCTCGCAACCGGTTTCGCACCCACTTGACAGTCCCGCAGTTGAGCCCGATATCTTCCAGTTTTCTGATCAGTACCTCGTGGGATACCAGGTCAAAGTCTTTCTGGACGTTGAGGTATCTGATGTCAACCACTTTTCTCTCATCCAGGTGACAAGTCACCTGATCATAGAAAGAAATGAGGTTGGTCAGACAATACCTGCCTGTGATGAAGCCATGCTGGCTGTCCTTCAGTATCATGCCTTCTGCAAGTTTGTCATATATAGCCTCTTTGATGATTGTTTCTAGGATTTTCCCTGGAATAGAAGTCAAGCTAATTGGCCTATAGTTTCCCGGGTCCTCACACTTCCCCTTCTTGAAGATGAGCAGAACAGTGGCCCTCTTCCAGTCCTCTGGGATTTCTGTAGAGGCCCATGATTTTTGAAAGACCTTTGCCAGGGGCTCTGCGATTACTTCGGCCAACTCTTGCAGCACTCTTGGGTGGAGTTCATCTGGTCCTGCTGAATTATATACATCTAATTTCTTTAATTGGTTGTACACCAGTTCTATTGCAATGGTGGGAATGGTGTCAGTCCCACCCTACTCATTCTGTGCCCTACCTGCTGTGTTGTTCCCCTTCATCTTGTGAAAGACAGAGGCAAAGTAGTCATTTAGGAGTTCTGTTTTTTCCTGAGTGGTAGTGACTGGGTATCCTGAGGCATTGAGAAGTGGCCCCACACTCCCATTAGTTTTTCTTTTACTCCCTATGTAGCTAAAGAAGGACTTCTTGTTGTCCTTGATTCTTGTAGCTAGTTCAGTTTCTGCCTTAGCTTGCCTAATCTGGTTTCTGCAAGTGCAGGCCGTTATCAAGTAGTCTTCCTGAGAGGCTGTCCCAAACTTCCATTGTGTGTATGCCTCTTTCTTTTTCTGTAGGAGGGCTGCAACTTCCCTGCTTAGCTAAGAGCGTTTTTGGACCCTTCTGCTACTTTTTCTCCATAAGGGCATGGATTTTCTATGAGCCTTAAGGATTGTGTCCTTAAGGAACAAATATTCTTCTTGTGCTCCCTTTACCTGTGGTCCTTGGTCTCTCAGAGCATTCTCTACAGGTGACCTGAGCTTATTAAAATTTACATTTTTGAAGTCTAAGACTTTGAGCTTGGTATCTGTTTTGTCAGCCTTGCGATGGATCGTGAATGTAATGATTTTACGGTCACTATCGCTCAGGCTGCCTTCTGTGTTTGAGTTGGTCACCAGGTCATCTCCTTTGGCCAAGACCAGGTCAAGAAGTGCATTGCCTCTAATTGGCCTGTGCACCTCCTGAGTCAAAAAAAGTTCTTTGATGCTGGTCAGGAAGGTTCATGATCGATCTGAGCTGGCCGAGCATTTCTCCCAGGAGATGTCTGGGTAGTTGAAGTCACCCATGACAACCATGTCCCATGCATGTGCCGCCTCTGTTAGTTCACTGGCGAATGCTAGATCAAGTTCCTCTCCTTGGTTAGGCGGCCTGTAGCATACACTTACAGTCACGTCTATTTCACCATGGCTCCCCTGGAGCTTGACCCAGAGGGTTTCAAGCTATTCTTCTTTGGGGCTGACATTGGCCTGTAGGGAGGTGTACTGCTCCTTCACATAGAGAGCAACACCTCTCTCTTCCCTACATGATCCCCTCTGTGAAGAATGTAGCCTTTTATGGCTATACTCCAGTCATGAAAGGAGTCCCACCAGGTCTCCGTGATCCCTACTAGATCGTAGTGCCCAGTGGAAAGCTGGAGGACTAGTTCCTCCTGCTTGTTCCCCATGCTTCTGGCATTGGCGTACAGGCACTGAAGTCCTTCTACTGAGGTCGCTGGCCGCCTGCCGCGTTGAAGGGGAGCTGTTTTCTCATCTCCCATAAGAGTGGCTTGCTTAATTTCATTGTCAATGGAGCTTTCCAGTATATTGGTCCCTGGGTAGGCTCCAGTTAGTGTTCCCCATCCCCCTATGATCTTAGTTTAAAGCTCTACATTTAAACTAATGCATGCAATGCATTAGTTACAAGATGAACATTTTCTCCTTGGTTGACCTGGTAGTGCATAACTGATGATTATGAGTGATCATTGGTGGAATGATAAAATTAAGGGTATAATAAAAGACATTTGTTTTTTCAATTAATTTGTTTCAAGGAAGAATACATCTTCTATGGATATAAAGAAAACATGAATATTGGATGATTCTAAATTGTCTGACAAATAGTTATGCAGTATTTTATATATGGCAGGCACATTGCTCTCAATTGCTTCACTGATGCCTTTGAATAATCCTGACCCAGTCAATATTAATTATATTTAAAATATTATTGGATCCATCTGTAAACTGCTAGCCAATTACATGCATCCCTCTCATAGTCAGCCATTGATCTATACCTGCCACAATTTATATAGCCTTCAGGTAGTTTTGAAGTTTTTTACCAGGCAGCAGAAGCAAACACCTTTGGCTGTAATTCTGGCCCTGCTAATGTCATTAGCTAAACTCTCACTGACTTTAGGATTTGGGGATGTATTCACTGAATTTAAAATTAATAGGGTAGCAGTCTTGCTGCATGGACCAGGATTGTGTTTGCTTTAGTAATGGCAGACAATAGAGCGGTGTAGCCTGATATCAGATGCAGTGTCTGCTATTCTCATAAGTAGTAGGAAAGCACAGAGAGCAACGTTAGTTCGTGTGGGGACACAAGGATCACGCCTGCTTTATAGTTATCAGCTGTTGCCTAGCAATCTAGCTGCATAGTGAACATGCACATGCACGGACTTGATTCTAATCACCAGCAGGAAAAATCCTTGTATGCACAGAATGTGGTTTCAAATGTGGATGCTAATAATCAGGTGATTCTGCTAAGCTTAGATGCTAATAATTGGATGACATGACGGGCACCTATACACGTGTTCTGACATGTTCTGATTAGAACGCGTCGAACCAGACTTGATTAATTTAATTCTGATTAGAACACTTCAGCCAACTTGATGAATCAAGTCTGGTTCAATGCGTTCTAATCAGAATGCTCCAGCGTGCCGCGGCGTCTCATGTATTCAGCGTCCCCGTGTTCCAAAATGGCCATGGAGGTGCTCTAACTAAAGCTCCTTGAACACGATTTTGGAACGCAGGTCACTGAATACACAAGGTGCAGCAGGCATTTTAATTAGAGCGTCTCCCGAGAACCACTCTAATTAAAATGCCCTCCCCACCCCAGAGCACGTGTAAAAGCGCTCTGTATGACTTCATAACAGAATGTCAAAGTACTGAGGAGATTTTGGTTCAGATTGATTCTATCGCAATAAATGTTTATAGAAGCTTAATCATATGCACAGGCTCCGAAATTAAACCCTACCTCTATAAGCCAGTGTTACTTATTTAAAAAAATGCCTGGAGAAAATACATACCTGGTCTCTTATCCTTTTAAGACTAAACATTTACGGGAAATATTTGATTAAGATCAAGTTAGGGTATAATACATTAAAAAAACTTGAAGGTAGCTTTCTTACTACAGATTTGTAATACAAAACTACTTACTTTTCACACAGGAACTGTTCATACTATAATGGCTGTATTACAAAAAAATTCATAAATTAAAAAATGTTTTAGCTATATAGTATTCTAACATCCCTGTCATCAACTAGGATTTTATATAGCTATAAATATATATTTAAATCAAGGTTCAGTGCAAGGATTTATGCAGATCATTCATCTATTACTATTAATAAAACTTTAACTAAGAAAAAATACTAACTGTCCTATAGATTTAGTTTTCTATCTGAAACTGTGCCCTGGATAATAATGTAACATTCAAGCAAGTGCTTTATGTGAAGTAACATGTTCACTCAGTCAAAATTTGTTGACAATGTAGGGCAGACTCAAGGTGCATTGGAATACATTTTATTTGTTGTTTTGTCAAAATCTGTGGGATAAAGGAGACACAACAAAAACAGTTCTTTATGTTGCTTCATAAGTGATGCTAAAAAAAGCAAAACAAAAAAAATTAGTCAATGTATCGCCTGCCATACATAACCTTAAAAATACTTACTATCTGTTCACTAGGGAATGCAAAAGTCACAAGAACTTGTATCAGATGGCCTTGTTTAATTGTAAATTCACTGGACTTTCAAATTAGTTTTTAAAGATATTTTTGTAAATGCACTTGCATTCAGTTAAACTGTTCAAAGTAGCAGTAGTCTGTGTGGCCTCAGTAATTGCATAGAAAGAAACCCTAATCCATTGTAGTATTTGGCTGTGTGTTTATTTTGAAGACAACTCACACACTCAAAGTATGTATAGGAACTTTCCTGGACCTGGACTTCATTTAAAAAATGAAGAATACATATGATAATTTGAGCCTTTTTTTGTCCTTCATAAAGGTCTTTGTTTTCACCGGAATATAAAATCCTGAAAGACAAGTGAAAAATTACAGCAAGTGAAAAAATTAGCTTTTGTCAGTGTTAAATAGTTTGAGTTAATTTATTCTATATGATCTCAGAAGTAAACCAGTTTCTATGCAAATTACCAAGGTTGTCTGTTACTTTGAATATAGTTTCTGCTTTCCATAAGGGCAGGCCAACTTATTTTCCACTGATTGACATACTAGCATCATTTAGTTGAATTCACATACACAATAAACAAAAATCTCAGCACTTCTGACAGCTCATCAAAAATACATTTTTGACAAGTTAGATTTGCTGTCTAAATGTAAAGGGTCTGCCTCTTTTTGTTTTCCAATGGACAGTCCTGCCTTTGCTCATAGTACTTTTGGCTTATTATTAGAGCTGCTTGGGAAGTTTTCTAATGACATTTTTTTCATTAGAAAATGCTGATTAGTTGAAACTGCAACTTTATGGGGAGAATATCTGTTTCAACCACCTTTTTTATTTAGGAAAAAGATTGCAAAGACTTTAAAATGTTAAAAGTATCCCATTTTTCCCTTTCTAGAAAGAAACAATGGGTGCGTCCACACATACAAGCATGTGCGCTTGCAGCAGCTCAAATAGAAGCGGTGCAAATTTGAGCCGGGGTTTTTTGCTTCAGGGCATTTGCTCGGACATGCACTTTGTTGTGGAGCAAATTGTGCCACTTGGGGCACAATAACCCTACCTGGCACCTCCTGGATCTTCAGCCAGTGGGAGCTAGAGCCCAGGGCCAGCACCTGTGCTGGCCCCAGCAGTATAAAAAGCCGCCCTGGCAAGCAGCTCAGGGCTACTAGCTCTCAGGATCTTCTGGGGCCCAGCCAGTTGGTACCTGGGGACACTACGTCTTGTGCCAGCTGGACTGCTGAAGCAGCCCTGAGAGTTCCCTGCACCCTCTACCCACTGCAGCAGTCTGGAAGTGGGGGCTGCTGTCTGGCTTTGTCATAATACACGTAAAATAAACAGAGCCTGAGGTTTTAAGGTTATCAGGGTTTGATGTGGGGCAAGAAGCACATGCGTGCTCATGTGAACACGCCCAATTTGTTTTTTTAAGTTTGAATTGTTTTTTTTGTTTGAAATTTGGTTTATTATAAAAATAGAAGCCAATATCTTAATAATATTTTGTTTGACATACATAGATATCTATTTATGGTTCACCAAGATTTTGGCTTTTTGTCATGATTTAACTTAGGGAAAAATTGCAAAATATTAACACTTTTCACAAGACCAAAAATTCATTGCTCAGCCAGAGCTCTTGAACTTTTTCTTTTCTTTTTCTTTATTTAGCTTATTTATCTTTCCCAACAAAACCATTAGCTTAGTTTTCCTAATCTCTGCTTTAGGCACTTACATTTTTAAGTGTACTTCCCCTTCATAGAAATGAAGAAATAATTTGCATCAGAGCTAGCTAAGTAACAGAGATATACTGTAGGGATGTCATACTTGGTTTGTCTCAAAATCTACTTGTCTTGCCTCTCCTGCATCTCATCCCTAACAGACCCTACAGTGCAATGAAGAGAGCCATTTAGCTGTCTTCAAGAGTCGACAGAAGTCATAATACATGTAAAATAAACAGAGCCTGAGGTTTTAAGGTTGTCAGTGTTAAGTGTTTCACAGTAAAATTATTTAAGGCCTATTCTATGCTATCAAGATATTGATAGAGCACAGGTTTATGCCCTTGGTTCTGAAGGATCTGCAGTGTCTTAAGAGTTGGCTGATAACCAGTGGTCCTTGATTTACTGAAGCAACTGATATTTTTCTCTAGACTTGGATGTGAAAAATACCATATTCAAAAGACTTTTTAATTGTTGTATATTGTTTTTCAAATAATTTTTTAAGTGCTCTGTGTATTTTCTGTATTTGCTAGTACCAAACACACAACACTGCCATCAGGTCTTCATAAGTAACTTTAACTTTTATATACAAAAGATTATTATTTATTTGTATGTATTCTTTGAATGTTGGTGGCATCTGCAGGCCCTAGCTAAAACTAGAGCCCCACTGTGGTAGTGCTTTGCAGATACAGAGAAAATGTTCCTGCCCCAAAAAGCTTTAAAAAATGCTGAGATTGTCTCTTGTACCAAGTCTTTTCTGAGAACAGTGGAGTAGCCATGGCTGGGAGCAGAATCCTGCTCATTACTTCCCTGGGAGGTTTTATGTCTGCCACAGCTCCATCAGCTGTTGAGCATTTCCAAGGCACCATCTGCTGACTGAGGCATACTGCAGGCCAGCACATTCTGGTCTTTTTTTGCCCTGAACTGAGGCTGGAGAAGGGTTGGTAGGATAGTAATCAGAATAGCTAGCTCTTCCTCCAGTGGTTATTCCCTACCACACAGTGAGTACCCAGCTACAGAGAAGGAGTTATTTCAGCTTCCTTTGTACCATCTGAATGAGCCAGGGAATCTGTCCATAAGGGTTAATATAGGCATACAGAAGTTATCTCACTGCTTAATGCATCTATTTCTTTTCTGGCTGTATAGTGGGTGCTATTTATGGACTTAACATTTGCTACTTCACAGTCATTATGTACAATGTTGTCTCCTATTCTGAGCATAGGATGACAATGCACTTGTATCAGATGCAGTACCTAAGAATGGCCAATTCTGCACTGTTAATGTTGTCTACTATATTTGGTGTGATTTCATGCAAAGGAATTCATATTTGGTCAGAATCTATTAAAATTGGGCTGTTTAAGTTTTCTTGCAAAGCTAATTTTGTATGGTATTTATGTCATTCCGATCATTAGAATGTTTTAAAATGAAAGAGCATGAAGATTGCCAAATGTTTAATTGGGATTGCCAAAGTGTCTAACTTCCCTTTAATTTAGCATAGGTGTAATTGCATCCTCAAGTCATGTTTATTGTAAAGTACACATTTTATATCATTGACTAATCTGCCTTCCTGCTGCTAGTATTAGTTGGGGGAAAACAACAACCAGGCATCAAATTAACACTAGTTTAAGGGTTCTCACCTGTTTTATACATAAGTCTGTATATCCCTAAAGTCTACTTAAACCCTGATTTCATGACTTAAATGGAGCACAAGCCTTGAGCTTGTATTGAGCAGCTACAAAGATAAACTGGATACTCCACAGTGAATGTGAACTCTGCAAAAACTCCATACAACAGGTATTTGATTTGTGGAGTAACATCAGGAAAAAAGCCCTGTGTTTTAGCCATGAGTTGGGGAGCAATCAAAAGGTGCTGGATTGGAGGCTTTTTGTAGGGGAGAGAGATTAAAAACAATAGATGCAATTTAAAAGCAGCAAAGTTTTTAAAGAAAAAATCATCCCTCTCAATCCATCATTACTGTTCAGATTGGGAGGCTCGGATCGACAGTCATGGAAGAATATTCTATGTGGACCATGTGAACAGAACTACAACGTGGCAGCGACCCACAGCTCCCCCTGCCCCACAAATCCTCCAGAGGTCAAACTCTATTCAGCAAATGGAGCAGCTGAACCGTCGGTAAGAACTGTAGTTTTTCCTTGTTAATTTTCTAGTACCAGGCTGTGTGAGCCATTTTATGAGCAAATGTGAAGACTGGCTTCCAACCACTACTCCAGGTATCTCTACATTCTTTAGTGGGCTTAACTGTGGTTCTTTTAGAGGTCCCTTCGACTTTGGCTGAAGGTCCTTAGTGTCAGTATTCCACCTATGTTCAATCTCAATGTGGCCAATAAAAATTGGTAAGGAACCCCAGGAAGTCAGGCTGCAGGGGGCAGGTAATGAGTAAATTACAGAGATTAGTGACTTTTGGAATGCATGGGACAAAAAAGCAAATATATCAAGCCTCAGTGTTTGAAGTTCCTGTGAACCAGGGCTAGAGTGCATTCACTGTTCAGTAAATCCAGCCTTGTATCTCCTAGGTATCAGAGTATCCGACGAACAATGACTAATGACAGGCCTGAAGAGCACACAAACACTGTTGATGGAGCTGGAGAGGAAACTGACCTCCACCCTTCTAATGCAGGTAGGAGCAAAGTAGATTACTGTAAAAGGAAACTCCCTAATATATGCTCTTTGGCTAAAGTGAGAGTAAGACTCACCTGTTTTCTGTCCTCAAGGAATTGACTTATCATTTTTATTACTACTGTTCTACTTCTGCAGGCTATGGCACACCCCGGTATGGTTTATTCATTCTGCATATTGAATAATTGTGTGTGTGATCCAGCATCTTTATTCAGTCACTTTAGAAAGCTATCCAAATGGCTGAATGAGTAGAGAGAGGTACTTAGCCATGTTAGTGTGAAAACAAGCTAGATTTGCGTCTTATAGACTAATCAGAGATTAGATTAGTGATGCATAGCATAAGCTTTTGTGAGCAGCAAGCGGACTTCATCAGATGGTGTGAAAGGACTGCAGGAAGCAAAGCTTTTAAACATTAAGCAGTAATTAGAATACAAAGGGTAAGGAAGGGAGAAAAAAAAGCACTTACTGCTGAGAGAGGCAAGACAGGTAGGAGAGAGAAAAACAAAGCAGTTAATCCATTAAGGGACATAGAGTTATAAGAGCTAATTCAGGTAATGATATAAGACTCCATAGCCTTGGTTTAGACCATAATTAACACAATCTAATCTGTGGATGATTTTTATTCTGCAGTTTCCCATTCAATTTCATTTTTAAAGTTTTGTTGTCTAAGAATAGCCACTCTGAGGTCAGTGATGGAGACTAAGTACAGATGGTCAAAAAGCCCAAGGCTGAATCAATTCAGTCTTTGCAGGTTAGTCTTAAGCTGCATAGATTGAATTGATAAGCTAGTGAATAAACATTCACTTTTGATTCCAGAAATGCAGCCACAAGCCTGCAGTGGCCCAGGTCAGAAGTGATAGGGTGCTAAAGCATGCCTCCCTGCTCAGCTGGAGCAGATAGCTTGGGCCAAGGCTAGGCCACCCACCCTGCGAGATGGGATTTGCAGGGGAGGTGCAAAGCATCCTGGGATGCTGGGGGACTGAGAGTTAACTTGAATCTGGAGGGATTCTGGGACAGAAATTCAATAAACCGATTTAACCTAAATCAGTTAAGTCTGATACTACATTCAGCCAGGATTATTTTAAACTGGTTTTGGCCATTTTGAAAGCAATTTATGTGCACTGAGCTTCTGTTGTGGTATAGATTTGAACCAGTTTCTGATCACTTATACCAGTTTGTGTGTAATTTCTGACCCCAGCC